GCAAAGTTTCTCCCCCCTCGTCCCCCCTCAGAGTTCAGACCAGATCCAGATCCATGTCTCACAGGCCTCGTTTCCCCAGAACCAGAACCAGCTGCAGGTCCAGTCCTCTGTCTCCCAGCCTCCGTCCCCCCCACAGCCTGATCCCCCGTCTTCAGGTCTCTCCACAGGAGGAGACCCCCCCCCTGTCCAACAGCACACACAACACAGTGAGTATCAGTACATGCCATCGGGATTACGCAATCAAATGACAGACAATAAACAACCAAGCTAACATCTTAGTAAATATGAAACTAGACTACAGTTACTCTCTCAATGATTACCTGATCACATGAGGTCTTCAAGGGGGGACGCTACAGGTGGGGAGGGTAAAGCATGTAATGGATATCACCAAGACAAATTGCACCGTAGTGAAAGTCTCAAAACTGACCAGAACATTAACATTTTATTATTTACTCACCTCAAAATATGGCATTTTTTCATTCTAACTAATGCTGTTAGTTTTTATTTTAAAAGTTATTCGAAAAGTAATCCGACGATTTCCATGTAATCTGTAATATAATCACCATCACTGTGTCTCTGCAGAGCCAACAGCTGCCTTGCTCGTGGAGCCTGAAGCGTTTCCTCTCCAGCCGTCATCTCCTGCAGCCTGGGGTCATGGTCAGGGTGATGGTCAGTGTCAGGGGGCCCCAGAGCCCAGAGAGCGGACCCCCACCCTGAGGAGCCTGCAGACCTGCACCAAGGTGAGAAACAGAGGAGACACTCTGTCAGCAGGGCTATGAAATCATTCAACTTAAAAAAAGAGATATTATTACATTATATGTATTACCTTTATTGAATATACAGTAGCTCATCAGTGCATCCCACAATTAGACTATTTTAAATATATAAATTAATTGAAATACTTAACTTAATATTTGGCAAACTTAAAACACAATGAATGTACCGTAATTTTCGGACTATAAGCCGCGCCTTTTTCCCTATTTTTCGACGCTGCGGTTTATATAACGGTGCGGCTAATCTAATCTATGGATTTTTACAGCTAACGGCCAACACCTTTAACTCTATGGGCTCTATGGCCGGTCCGCGGACCCCCACCTTTAAGCGGCGGGTTCCAGCAGGAAAAGCTGGAGGCCGGAAAAGAGTGAGACAGGTAGCGCGCAAAAGTAAAAGTGGAACCGAGAGTGGTATGCCGCTGCTGCGGCTTATATTCAGGTGCGCCTTATAGTCCGAAAATTACGGTACATGCAAAAGTTCGTTTTTAATAAAAAGTGTTTGTTTTCTATCAGCCTGCAGATCCTCCACAGAGAGAGAATCTCACACCAGCAACACGCAGGCACCGGTGAGAGGATTATTCATATAATAATAATACACTTTATTTCTAGAGAGCTTTCATACATGATTAGCATTTCAAAGCAAAACATAAGAATCATTCATTATTATTATGTTTTAATTAAATGTTCTTCTGTTTATCAGTGTTTTTATTTTTTAAAGCCCACGTACTCAGACACTCAAATCCAAAAAATTGTGTCTTTGTCTGTGTACATATAGGATATACATATTTTTATATACATCTGTTTTTATATTCTGGATTGTGGGAAACAGTATTCCGATCTCTCTGTCTGTACACACAAACTGGAAGATTGATCGTAGAGTTGACTTTGACTGATATCCTTTAATCCTACGGGACGTTATGCATGTTCTGTGTCGATGGCGTGTTGCGTCACCTCACCAGTCTGCGGGTCCCAGTTGATCTCACTGTGTTTCTCTCCAGGTTCCAGCAGCGGTTGTGTTCGGACCAGGCCTCGGTTCAGGCCTCTCTCTCCGGGCCGGCCTTCCCCTCGCTGCAGGACGCCGTCACTCGCCTGCTGCCGTTCCACTGCTGCGCCGGAGAGCTTCCAACTCAGCAGAACTTCAACACAGGTCAGGGAGCGGCTGGGGACGAGGACATGTATAAACACATATAGCCTTTGCTGTCTCCTCAACATGAACCATGTGTCTAACATAGGGACAGCAGCTGGTAACTTAAAGGTCACCTATTATATAAAATCCACTTCTTCATGTCTCTTCTACATCAACATGTGTCCCCTCTTCTTCATGTCTCTTCTACATCAACATGTGTCCCCTCTTCTTCATGTCTCTTCTACATCAACATGTGTCCCCTTTTCTCCATGTCTCTTCTACATCCACATGTGTCCCCTCTTCTTCATGTCTGTTCTACATCAACATGTGTCCCCTCTTCTTCCGGTCTCTTCTACATCAACATGTGTCCCCTCTGTGGAAAGA